ATTGAACTGCGCTGAACTCCATTATAGGGTTCTATACTGACCATATCATATAGATTGAACTCCATAGAACTCCATTATAGGATTCTATACTGACCATATCATACAGACTGAACTGTGTTGAACTCCATTACAGGGTTCTATACTGACCACATTATACGGATTGAACTCCACTGAACTCCATTATAGGGTTCTATACTGACCATATCATATATATTGAACTGCATTGAACACCATTATAGGATTCTATACTGACCATATCATACAAGTTGAACTCCACTGAACTCCACTATAGGGTTCTATACTGATCTCCATTGTAGGGTTCTCCACTGACCATATCATACAGATTAAACTGCATTGAACTCCATTATAGAGTTCCATTTGACCATATAATACAGATCGAACTGCACTGAACTCCATTATAGGGTTCTATTCTGACCATATCATACAGATTGAACTGCACGGAACTCCACTATAGGGGTTTGCACTGACCATAGAATGCAGCTCATGCGGCATTATATGGTCAGTCAAAGTAGAACCAGCCCCTGAACCTTTGGGCATGAGGTCTAGCAGCATGATTTTGCAAAACAGTTCAGGCATGTGCTTCCTTTGCCAATGGGAAGAGCCCCCTTCTCTCTCTGGATAAAAGAATAAGGTCTTCCTTTCTTCTTGTCCAGAAATCCAAGGGCCCCCACGATGGAACAAAAGCCTGGGGCCCATCCCATCCTGATGCTAATCTGGCTTTGTGCTCCACTAAAAATACACCAGTGGAGAGGAAATTTCTGCTCCTGGGTGGGTCCCTTTCCTTCCCAGGAGGGGCTTCCTGTCAAAAACAGCCTCCGGCGTTCTCAAGAAAAGGCTCCGGAGAAGTTTCAAGACGATGGTTTGGGGAGCAAGACAATAGGGTTCCCATTTGAACCCAGGTCTATCACTCATTTCAACACAGCATCATAAAATCCTAGACCTGGAAGAGAGAACACCCAAAGGTCATCCAGTCCAACCCCCTTATGCTATGCAGGAGAACACCACCGAAGACCTCCTGAGAGGTGGCCATCCATTCTTTCATGTGGTTGGAAATCTGGGAAAAAGCTAAAGGAGGTGCTGGGATCTACACTGTTAAATTAATACAGTTCTGACATCACTTTAATTGCCACAGTTAAATGCTATGGAATTGTGGGATGTGTAGTTTGATGAGGCGCTGGTCATCCTGGGCAGGGAAGGGGCAAGACCTTGCAAAACTACAACTCTCAGGATGAAACAGCAGTGAAAGTGGTGCCAAACAGCATTCATTCTACAGTGGAGATGCATCTTGAATTAAGAGAGAAAAGCAGGATATAAACAAAGATCATCATCTCCGTTGATAAAACCTTCTGCTGATTTGGTTATTAAAAGAACACACTTCATGAGATGCATCTACACTGTAGAGTTAATGCAGTTTGGTACCACTTTAACTGCCAACACTGAATGCTTTGGAAGTTGTAGTTTTACAAGGACTTGAACCGCAGGTGAAAGTGGGTAATAAAATAGATTATCATTATTTGCTATTGCATTATAATATAATTATGACATAATTATATTATATGATTATCTTAATATTATTATTAATAATAATTAGTCCTAAGAGAAGGAATTATTATTATTATTATTCCTTCTGTGCCAAACTACAATTCCCAGTATTTCATTGCATTGAGCTGGTGCCAAGATGTGTAGAAAAATAATAATTGTGCCTTTTTTAAAAAATGGAAGGAATTATTTCATCAATAGAAGTATATTATTATTATTATTATTATTATTATTATTATTATTATTATTATTCCTTCTGTGCCAAACTACAATTCCCTGTATTCAATTGCTTTGAGCTAGGGCAGTTACTTGCTTTGAGCTAGGGCAGTTACTTGCTGGAAGAAACATTAACAACCTCAGATATGCAGATGACATCACTCTGATGGCCGAAAGCGAGGAGGAGCTGAGGAGCCTTCTAATCAAGGTGCAAGAAGAAAGCGCAAAAGCCGGGTTGCAGCTAAACGTCAAAAAAACCAAGATTATGGCAACAAGAATGATTGACAACTGGAAAATAGAGGGAGAAAACGTGGAGGCAGTGACAGACTTTGTATTTCTAGGTGCAAAGATTACTGCAGATGCAGACTGAAGCCAGGAAATCAGAAGACGCTTACTTCTTGGGAGGAGAGCAATGTCCAATCTCGATAAAATAGTGAAGAGTAGAGACATCAGACTGGCAACAAAGATCCGCCTAGTCAAAGCCATGGTATTCCCTGTAGTAACCTACGGATGTGAGAGCTGGACCTTAGGGAAGGCTGAGCGAAGGAAGAGAGATGCTTTTGAACTGTGGTGCTGGAGGAAAGTGCTGAGAGTGCCTTGGACTGCGAGAAGATCCAACCAGTCCATCCTCCAGGAAATAAAGCCCGACTGCTCTGGAGGGAAAGATACTAGAGACAAAGTTGAAGTACTTTGGCCACATCATGAGGAGACAGGAAAGCCTAGAGAAGACAATTATGCTGGGTAAAGTGGAAGGCAAAAGGAAGAGGGGCCGACCAAGGGCAAGATGGATGGATGGCATCCTTGAAGTGACTGGACTGACCTTGAGGGAGCTGGGGGTGGTAACGGCCGACAGGGAGCTCTGGCGTGGCTGGTCCATGAGGTCACGAAGAGTCGGAGACGACTGAACGAATGAACAACAACAACAACAGGGCAGTTAAAGTGGTGTCAAACTGTGCAGACAAATCGAAGGAATGCTTTTTCTCAAGGCAAAGGATGCCTTTCTCCCTTTCCCTTTTTCCTCTCTTCTCACTTTTCAAACTTTTCAAGAAACGGTAATCGGAGCTTCCTAAACCTGACCCAGCCCTGACATTTCCCTGCATTTATGTGCAAGCTTTCAAAGCAGAAACAAGGCAAGGGGGGGGGGGGGGGAAGAGAGCTGGAAATAAAGCAACCAACGTAACATGTTGACATTCTCAGGGCCGAACGCTTATCAGCATTTCTGGGAAAAACTTCTGCAAGAGGCAAAAAGCTGTATATAAGATACATCGGGTTATCAACAGAAACGCTCTGGAGGGCCTGTCTTGTCTTTTTGTAAACCAATTAACAAAAGAATATTTATGAATATTATGAGCGTATTAATAGCATAAACATGAATTGAGTAACATGATTAAGATTGGGTGGCTGTGAGTTTTCCGGGCTGTATGGCCATGTTCCAGAAGCGTTCTCTCCTGACATTTTGCCCACATCTATGGCAGGCATCCTCAGGGGTTGTGAGGTCTGTTGGAAACTAGACAAGTGGGGTTTATATATCTGTGGAATGTCCAGGGTGGGAGAAAGAACTCTCATCTGTTGGAGGCAAGTGTGAATGTTGTAATTGACCAGCTTAATTAGTTTTGCAGCTTCAAAGCCTGGCTGTTTCCTGCCAGGGGAATCCTTTGTTGGGAGGTGTTAGCAACATTTCCTGTTTCCTGTCAGCAACATTCACACTTGCCTCCAACAGACTTTCTCCCACCCTTCCACAGGTATATAAACCCCACTTGGCCAGTTTCCAACAGACCTCACAACCGCTGAGGATGCCTGCCACAGATGTGGGCAAAACATTGGGGGAGAATGCTTCTAGAACATAGCCATACAGCCCGGAAAATTCACAGCAACCCAATGATTCCAGCCATGAAAGCCTTTGACAACACATTGTTAACATTATGAATTTATTAATATTATTAATACCATGAATGTATTAATATTGTTAACAATATTAAATGATATTAATATGATGAATTTGTTAATATTATTAACACGATGAATTTATTAATATTATTTTATGGGTTTGTCGATATAAGTAATATTAATGAATTTATTAATATTAATAACATTATGAATATTATTTATGCAATGACTGTATCATTATTAATATTAATTTATCAATATTATTAATAACACAAATTTATTGATATTATTAATACTATTAACATTATTAATTTGTTAATGTTATTACTATCTATTTATTCATATATTCTGCCCTCTGCCTGAGGATTTCAGGGCCATCAAAATCCATTTACAAGCACAATTCAAAACCAATTAAAGCAGTGATGACTTATCTGCAAATCGGATAAACTCAAAAACTTTTATAAAGGGTTTTCTAAACAATATCTGGTCAGTTGTTATTTCGGACTTATAGGTTGTTGGGTTCTTTTGTGAGGCTGAGAGTGTGTGACTTGCTCAAGGTTGCATAACAACAACAACCACAACAACATAATGTATTACCCGCTTCTCTTAGATGTGGTGCTGAATAAATGCAGTTTGACACCATTTGAACTCCTGTGGTTCAATGCTATGGCATCCTGGGAAGTGTAGTTTCCCTTGGAGTCTGGTGCAAGCTCCTTCCTTGGAGGCTTTGAAATAGAGGCTGGATGGCCATCTGTAGGGAGTGCTTTGGTTGTGCTTTTCCTGCCTAGCAGAAGGGGGTTGGAATGGATGGCCCTTGAGGTCTCTTCCAATTCTATTATTCTATAATTTTGTGACAGTTCAAGTCTGCATTCATTCAACACTGTAGATGCACCTTCAAGAGAGGCAGGTAACTAAAATTGTATTATTATTATGACTATTATTATTATGTGACCTTGAGTCACCCACTCTCAGCCTCACAAAAAAAACCTCAACCCATAAGTCTGAAACAACTGACCAGTTGTTAAGACAACCCTATATAAAGTTTTTGAGTTTATCAGACGTGCCTTATGTGACCTTGAGTGAGTCACATACTCTCAGCCTCGGAGAACCATGCCATCATTCAGAAATGATGTCTAATCAGTGGTTCTCTGATATTTTATATTTTAAAAACCTTTGCTGTTTACAATTTCATCCACTCTGTGCAGCCCAAGATGGCACAGCCTGTATAAAAGCAATATGGATGTGGGATAACGGCAAAGTGCGGGCACAAAATGAGACAAACGAGAAGCCACAAAAATACCAGGTAAAATGCCCATCTCTAGGCAGCTCATCCTGACCTTCCGGCCGTTTTCCGAGCTGGAGCTGAGTTTGTGCCTCTTGAGGTGCCTCCCGCTGGGATCGGCTTGGGGCGTCCAGTCTGGGGCGTTACTATGACCACTGGGTGGTTGGAGCCCCGGGCTTTGGCCACCCACCGCCAGGCCTGTCCGCGCCATCTCCTCCGTGCAGGTCAGCTGCTGGCTCCGGAGGAACTCGTCTGTCTCTTTGTCCACCACCAACAGGCAGGTTTCCGTTTCCAGCGCCTTGATCCGCTGCACCACCTGCAAGGGCCAAGCAATGAAGAATGTAAACAACAAGAACAACAACAGCCACATACTTCACACTTTGGCTGCCTGGGAGTCTAGTAGAGCCTCCTTCTTTGTTTTTAAGCAGAGGATGGAGGGTTTCTATGATATGTCTATCCAAGCCTGTAGCCAAGAGGGTTAGCCTACACATTTCATGCACAAGGTGCGCTCTGTAAGCACGGTCTGGTGTTTGGAGGAGAAGTTGGGGATAAAGATGCTCATCAGAAGCTTGGTGTATTGGTTACTAAACCATTGGTGCGATAGGAAAATGCCATAGAAGTGTTGTCGAAGGGTTTCGTGGCCAGAATCACTGGGTTGCTGTAAGTTTTTTGGGCTGTCTGGCCATGTTCCAGAAGCATTCGCTCCTGACGTTTCACCTGCATCTATGGCAGGCATCCTCAGAGGACCTCACAACCTCTGAGGATGCCTGCCATAGATGCAGGCGAAAAGTCAAGAGAGAATGCTTCTGGAACATGGCCAGACAGCCCGAAAAACTTACAGCAACCCTGCAATAGAAGTTTTCGACAGACTCACACAAAAAAACAGTACCATCAGAACAACTTGTGCTTGGCTGAAAACTTCTTGCTAATTCACAGTGGAAAATGTATTGATGAGAATGGAAATAAGAAGGAAGCAGAAGAAAACAGAAAGAAACTTCTGCCAGTTGTGCAAAGTATTGTCCTTTGTGGCCGATAAGAACGAGCTTAAAGAGAGAGCAATGATTCAGGACCTTTGCACAATGGTGGTCATTTCAAGGCCTTGTTGAGTCATCGGGGGGGGGGGGGGGTTCAACTCATCCTGAATTTTTTTTTTCTGGCTACAGGTCTGTGTCTATCATCTCTGGATCCTATCTCTCAATCTCTTGATCTACCTATCTCTCCCTCAATCATATTTATCTATCTATTTTATCTATCACCCCTCCCTCTTTCCCATATTATCTACCTTATCTATCATTTCTCTTTCAGTCCTATCTTATCTATCTATCTATCTATCTATCTATCTATCTATCTATCTATCTATCTATCATCTCTCTGTGTGTGTGTCATATTTATCTATCTTATCTAACTATCTTTCAATTAATCATCTCTCTCCCTCTCAATCATATCTAGCTATCTATATCTCATCTCCCTCTCTCTTTTCATCCATCTATCTATCCATCTATTTCTCTATTCATCCATCCCTCCATCATCTCCCACTCTCTTTCTCAATTCTATCTATCTATCTATCTATCTATCTATCTATCTATCTATCTATCTATCTCTATCTATCTATCTATCTATCTATCTATCTATCTATCTATCTATCTATCTATCTTCTCCCTCTCTCCACAAATCTATCTATCTATCTATCTATCTATCTATCTATCTATCTATCTATCTATCTATCTATCTATCTATCTATCTATCTATCTATCTATCTTCTCCCTCTCTCCACAAATCAATCTATCTATCTATCTATCTATCTATCTATCGATCTATCTATCTATCTATCTATCCATCCATCCATAATCTCTCTCAGTTATTAATTTATCCATCCATATATCGTCTCCCTCTCTCCCTCTTAATTCTATCTATCTATCTATCTATCTATCTATCTATCTATCTATCTATCTATATCTGTCCATCTATCATCAGTCTCAATCATATCCATCTATCCGTCATTTCCCCCTCTCTCAGTTCTATCCATTCATCGTCTTTCTTTCAATCCTATCTATCCATCCATCTACCATCTCCCTCTCTCCCTATCAATCCTATCTATCTATCTATCTATCTATCTATCTATCTATCTATCTATCTATCTATCTATCATCTCTCTCCCCGTCATATCTATCTATCTACCTATCTACCTATCAATCTATCATCTACCTCTTCTCAATTCTATCTATCTTTCTTTCTTTCTAGTCATAATCTCTCTCTCAATTATCAATTTATCCATTCATATATCGTCTCCCTCTCTCCCTCTCAATTCTATCTCTCTGTCTCTCTATCTATCATCTCTCTCTCTCTCAATCATATCTATCTATCCACCTATCTATCCATCTATCATCTGTCTTCTTAATTCTATCTATCTATCTATCCCTGATCTTGCTCTCAATTATCAATGTATCCATCCATATATCGTCTCCCTCTCTCCCTCTCAATTCTATCTATCTATCTAGCTATCTATCTATCTGCCTATCTATCTATCATCTCTCTCAATCATATCCATCCCTCTGTCATCCCCCCCCCCCCAATCTATGGCTGGATGGCCATCTATTGGGGGGATTGATTGGTCTCTTCCTGTCTGTCCTTTGGGTCTTCCTGGCAGAATGGGGATGGGTTCGATGGCCTTTAGGGGTCCCTTCCAACTCTGGGATTCTATGATTCTAGGAGAAAAGGAGAACATGATGCTTAGTTGCTGAAAGAGCCAAGTTCCAAAACCTTTTCTGTATCTATTGTGTTGAATTAATGGAGTTTGGCACCACTTGAACTGCCAGTGGCTCAATGCCTTTGGTTTCCTCTGTCAAACTACATATCCCATGTAACTTTCCCAAACTATGTTCTGAAATCCCTTTCCCACTTTGGAAAAGGCCGACATTGTCTTCTCTTTGCGATGCCAGGTAAAGAATGTCTATTGCTATTTTCCCATCGAACCCAACGTTATCTAGGTTTCCAATAAGTTCTGTTCATTATTCGCAATGACGCTTTCAATTGTGGGTTGTTTCTGACCATTGTTTCTGATAATTTTGCCATGCGATAAGCCTTCCTAATGTAATGGGTGGAGTCTATATCCTTTTGGGAAAGCCTTATAAATAAGTAATCCTGCTTGGAACATTGCTTCGAGATTGGAGGACAACAACTCCCAGTCTCAAGGGGAGACTGGGAGTTGTAGTCCTCAAACTTAGCAAACTTTGTGTTGTGGGAGTTATTGTCCTTTGAAAAGACATGTGTAGATTAATGGACTGAAGAAATCCATTCTGGATAATGCTGCCTTGCTAAGTGGGAGTTATAGTACTGCGCAAGGGATTCTGGGAATTGTAGTGGGGAGAAAATAGAACACAAAGGCAGGGGAAGGAGTTGCATTACGCCCAAAAGATTAAGGAAATATGCTTCTTAATCATCTTAAACCAGTTTGATTGGTTCGTCTTGGATTATTAGCCATCGCTTTCCGCAATGAGTCATTCCTTCCCTCCCCAACTGCCCTCTTTTGAGAAATGGGATATGTAGTGCACCCTCCCCATTTGCTGAGATGAAGGGCACATCCCTGAAGAATCAAATCTGCAAATGTGGCATTTAGAGGGAAATTAAGTATTTATTTATATTTAAAATATTTTAATACTATTGCAATAATTTTTAATAATAATAATAATAAATATTTAATTTATTTATTATTATTTTATTTCAGACTGACGAATGCACCATACCATCACCCCTACCCCCCCCCCCAAAAAAAACAAAAAAAAAACAGCTGAACGCATTCAGTTTAACTGCCCTGGCCCAATACTATCCGATGCTGGGAGTTGTAGTTTGGGGAGGAAACGGAGAAAGTGGAAGGCTTTGGGAAACTACAACTCACAGGATGCCCAATTGCAATTAGCCATGCCAACTGAACTGGCAGCAAACTGCATTCATGATTCTATATGTGGTCGCTCCAAACTCTCTGCAAATCTCAACCTGCTCATTTCATCGCATTGAAATAGACCAGTTTCTCTGGAAGCTGCAGCAGCAACTCCACAAGAGTCCTATAATAAGGCCCTGTTTATCCAAAGTGGTATACAAACACCTACGCACAAAATAACACAGCAAGGAAGCTGCAACAACAAGGGAAGTCATCGGAGGCACAGGCCAAAGAAAGGGCAGGAGGGTAGGCTGCGTTTTGGGAATAGGTGGCATGACACCCACGGATACCTTAGAGTTGCCATAGGATGGCACTGACTTCTCAGTCTTCTTTGCCTAAGAAAACATGACAAAAGCCATGGGGTTGCCCTAAACCAACATGCACACGTACAAAGCCAAGGGGTTTTATTTGCATGGCTGTTGAGGCAAGCGAGGCCAAAGCGTGCCTAAGAAAACCCAAGAAAATCATACAAAGTGGCCTAAGGAAACCCTACAAAATGGCCTAAGGAAAATCTTTAAAAAATCCTAAAGAAACACTGCAAAATTCCCAAAGAAAGTCCTACAAAACTCCCTAAGAAAGCCTCATGAAATGCCCTAAGGAAGCCCTACCAAATGGCCTTTTTAAAAAAACAACCTTGTGCCGGCAGGACTGCTGACCGAAAGGTCTGCGGTTCAAATCTGGGGAGCGGGGTGAGCTCCTATTTGTTAGCTCCAGCTTCTCATGTAGGGACAAGAGAGAAGCCTCCCATAGGATGGTAAAACTTTTGGGCATCCCCCGGGCAAAGTCCTTGCAGATGGTCCATTCTCTCACACCGGAAACAACTTGCAGTTTCTCAAGTCGCTCCTGACACGAAAAAAAACTGCAAAGTTCCCTTTAAAAACCCTACAATATGGCCTAAGGAAGTCCTACAAAATGGCCCAAGGAAACCCTATAAAAGTGCCTGTGGAAACACTGTAAAATTCCCTTTATAAGTCCTACAAAATTCCCTAAGAAAGCCCTGCAAAATGGCCTAAGGAAGCCCTACAAAATTCCCTAAGGAAGCCTTGCAAAATTGCTTATGGAAACACTGCAAAATTCCCCAAGGAAGCCCTACAAAATGGCCCAAGGAAATCCTATAAACTGCCTAAGGAAACACTGCAAAACTCTCTTTAGAAGTCCTACAAAGGAAGCTTTTCAGAATTGCTTATGGAAACACTGCAAAATTCCCTAAGAAAGCCCTGCAAAATGGCCTAAGGAAGCCCTACAAAATTCCCTAAGGAAGCCTTACAAAATTGCTAATGGAAACACTGCAAAATTCCCCAAGGAAGCCCTACAATATGGGCCAAGGAAACCCTATAAAAGTGCCTAAGGAAACGCTGCAAAATTTGCTTGAAAAGTCCTACAAAATTCCCCAAGGAAGTCTTACAGAATTGCTTATGGAAACACTACAAAATTCTGTTTAAAAGTCCAACAAAACAGTGTAAGGAAGCCCTATGAAATGGCCTAAAGAAAACACTGCAAAATTCCCTTTAAAGGTCCTATAAAATGGCCTAAGGAAGCCCTACAAAATCCCCTAAGAAAGTCCTACAAAATCCCCTAAAGAAACCTAAGAAAACCTTACACTGTTCATGTGGCTGCCATAAGTCAAAAAGCCCATAAACAAGGCAAAAGGGGTTTATTGGCGTAATGGTTAGGAAGGGCGAATTGCCTTTGAGGCCGAGAGAGTGTGACTCCCATTGGTCCACCTAGCAGGTTTCCATAACCGAGCGGGGATTCGAACTCTGGCCTCCAAACACACAAAAGTCATAAACATAAGAAACACAAGTCTACGAACCTCTTGCCCTAAAACTCTTATTAATCTGCTCCCTTTGAATGCTATTTATTTCTTGACATGGCTGGATATCATGTTGTGGATGAGACCAGGGTTCGAATCCCCGTTCGGTTACAAAACCCCAATGCGGCAGCTTAGGCAAGTCACATTCTCTCAGCCTCAAAGAGAAGGCAAAGGTCAATAAATCCTCCAGAGAATTATTTCCAACCAAACTGTAGTAAAGCATTCTTATAAATCAGGACTGGCAGATAAGAAACAACATTACACGTCGATATCTATCTCTATCTCCTTAGAACCAATTATTATAAGGAAACTGATATAGATCTATACATAGTGTAGTTGCCATGACTCAATGCAATGGAATCCTGTCTGTTGCAGTTTTACAAGGCGTTAAGCTTCCTCTGGGCTGGCTCTATAGTGAAGAGTGGATGCATTTTGATAGTCTTTTAACTCAAAGTTAAGCCATAATTTCGAGTTGTAGTTTGTTGAAGCACCAGCCCTCTTTGGCAGATAAGGCCCAAGGCTTGGGAAACTATAACTCCCAGGATCCCATAGCATTGGGCCGTGGAGATTAAATCAGGGTCATAGTGCATTCCTTCCACATGGTAGATGCACCCAGAGAATGTTATATACCTCTTCCAAGTCTATTATTATTATTATTATTAGTAGTAGTAGTAGTAGTAGTAGTATTAATATTAATAAAGAGGCCATCTATCAAGATAGCTTGGATTGCGTATTCCTGAATAGCAGGAGTGGGTCAGATTACATGGCTCTTGGGGGTCCCTTCCAACTCTAGGCTACTATGATTCATAGGTTGGGTGGCCATCTTTCGGGAAGGTTTTGATTGTGCCTCTATGACAGAAGCAGTTTGGACTGGATGGCCTTTAGAGGCCCCTTCCATTTCTAGGACCCTATGATTCAACTGCCCTGTTTCTCCACAAATGTCCATGAAGCTAAATGGCCATCTGTGGGGAGGGCTTGGATGCTGACAGCCTTCCTGTTTAATAGAATGGGGTTGGACTGGATGGCCTTACAGGCCCCTTCCAGCTCTAGGACCTTATGATTCTATTGCTCAATGTCTCGATATTTCTTTTTCCTTGCTAAAGAAATGATGGTGAATGGTCTCTAGCTGCAGGAGAGAGATTGGAACCTGCCCCATACATAGACATTTACAGACAGACAGACAGACAGACAGACAGATAGATAGATAGATATGGAGAAATAGGGTCATAGGATCGTAGGATGCTAGAATTGGAAGGGGACTCTGAAGGCCCTCCAGTCCGACCTCCTTTGGCAAGGCAGGAAGACCCCATGTGAACCCTCCACACAAATGGCCGGTTAGTGTAATGAACATTTAGAAGACAGATAGAAAGATAGATAGATATATATACATAGATCGATCAAGAGAGAGAGAGATACAGATAGAGATACACAGATAGATAAACAGATTGATAGATACAAAGATCGATACACTGATAGAGATACACTGATAGATACATAGATAGAAAAATAGATAGATGCACAGATTGATAGATAGATAGATAGATAGATACAGAGAGATAGATAGATACAGAGAGAGATATACACAGATACACAAAGAGATACGAGATATATAGATAGGTAGATAGATTGATAGATTGATTGCTAGAGGGATAGATAGATAGATAGATAGATAGATAGATAGAGGATGGATACACAGATTTGGGCCCCATATAAAATCCAGATTATCTGCTTTGAACTGGAGACTCATATAATGCACTTCAAAGCAAATAATGTGGATTTTCTGATTTGATAATCTGGATTATATGACAGAGTAGATCCAGCCATAGAGAAAAAGAGAGATACACAGAGATAGACAAATAGAGATACAGAGAGAGAGAGAGAGAGAGAGATACAGAGATAGATAGATAGATAGATAGATAGATAGATATACACAAAGATAGAGATATGGAGAAGGGGCTTCCACACAGCCATATAACCCAGAATATCAAGGCAGATAATCCACAATGTCTGCTTTGAACTGGGTTATCTGAGTCCTCACTGCCATATAACCCAATTCAATGTGGATTTTATACAACTGTGTAGAAGGGGCCAAAGAGAAAGAGATACACAGATAGATAGATAGATAGATAGATAGATAGATAGATAGATAGATAGATAGATAGAGAAAGAGTTAGACAGAGACAGAGAGCAAGGTACACAGACAGAGATAGATAGATAGATAGATAGATAGATAGATAGATAGATAGATGAAAAGAAAGAGAGAGAGTGACAGAGAGAGTGATAGACACAGAGAGAGTTACACAGAGATAGAAAGAGGGACACATATAGACAGGTAGAGAGAGAAATAGAAAGAGATAGATAGATAATAGATAGAGACACATAGAGATACACACAGACAGAAAGACAGAAAGAGACAGATGATACACAGATAGATAGATACACAAATAGATTGAGAGATAGACAGATAAAAAGAGAGAGATAGAAAAAGATAGAAAGAAAGACACACAGATACAGAGAAAAATAGAAAGAGATAGATGATAGATACACAGAGATAGAAAGAGAGAGAGAGAGAGAGATAGAGAGAAAGATAGAAAGAGATAGATAGATGATACACACAGAGAGAGACAGACAGACAGATAGAGAGAGATACACAGAAATAGAGACACACAGATACAGAGAAAAATAGAAAGAGATAGATGATAGATAGATACAGAGAAAGATAGAAAGAGACAGATATTGATAGATAGATAGATAGATAGATAGATAGATAGATAGATAGATAGATGATAGACATAGAAAGAGAGAGACACACATGTAGACGGAAAGATAGAAAGATTGATTGATTGATGATCGATATTGTAGACACAGAGATACACAAATAGATACAGAGGAAGATTGAAAGAGATAGGTAGATAGATAGATATGACGGGGAGAGAGATGATAGATAGATAGATAGATAGATAGATAGATAGATAGATAGATAGATATAGAGAGACAGGCAGACAGACAGACGAGAGAAAGATAGAAAGGGATAGATAGAAGATAGATACAGAGAGATAGAAACAGAGAGAGAGATACACTGAGAGAGAGAGAGATACATAGATAGATACCCCAGGCATGGGCCAACTTTGGCCCTCCAGGTGTTTTGGACTTCAACTCCCACAATTCCCAACAGCCTCAGGCCCCTTTCTTTTCCCCCTCGGCCGCTTAAGCGGAAAAGGAAAGAGCCTGTGGCTGTTAGGAATTGTAGGAGTTGAAATCCAAAACACCTGGAGGGCCGAAGTTGGCCCATGCCTGGTCCACACTGTGGAATGGTTGCAGTTTAGCGCTTGAACTGCCTCCTGGCTCAATATGATTGGGCCCTTGGAGTTGTAGTTTGCCCTCTTTGGAATGGTGGGAGTTGCAGTCCAAAACACCTGGAGGGCCGAAGTTGGCCCATGCCTGAGACAGGCAGGCAGGCAGGCAGAGGGAGCCCCGTCTTTGCTCTCCTCCCCCCCCCCCCGCCCGCCCGCCCTCTCCCTCCTTCTGACCTGGTGGTGGGTCTCCTTCTCCACGTTGTGCCCGTTGACCTGGACCAGCCTGTCTCCGGCCCGCAGCCCGGCGGCCTCGGCGGGGGAGCCGGGCTCGACCTGCCGGATGAACTGCCCGCTCTTGCCCTTCTCCCCGTGGAGGTGGAAGCCGTAGCCGGAGGGGCCCTTGCGCATGGGGCAGAGGCGCGGGCCGGGGGGCCCCGAGGACGAGGACGAGGAGGCGGGCGGCGAGGACGGCGGAGAGCCCGCCGAGGCCGAGGCGGCGCCGCCTTGCTCCTTGGCCATGGCCGCGGCGGGCGGGCGGGCGGGCGGGAGGAAGCGGCTGCCGGACGGAGCCAGGCTAGAGAGGGACCCGAGCCCCGGTGCGGATCATGGCCACGAAGGGGAGGAGGAGGAGGGGGAGGAGGAGGAGGAGGAAGGACAACAAGGCCGCCCCGCCCCTTCCCCGCTCGCTCTCTCTCTCGCTCTCTCTCGCTCTCCTTGCTCCTTCCCTCCTTCCTTCATCCACCGGAACCTTCCAGAGGTTGGGAAAAAGGAAGGGGGGCTCAGAGAAAGAGGAGGGGGCGTCCCCTTTCTCTCCTCTTCCTCCTTCCTTCCGTTGTTTCTCTCTATCTTCTCTCTCTTTCTTTCTCCCTCTCAGATACTCTGGATTTCCCATCCTTCCTTTCTTTTCTGCCTCCTTTCCTTCCTTCCTTCCTTCTTTTCCTTCTTTTCTTCCTTTCTTTTCTACCTCATTTCCTTCCTTCCTTCCTTCCGTCTTTTCTTCCTTTCTTTTCTGCCTCCTTTCCTTCCTTTCCTTCCTTCCATCCATCCTTCCTTTCTTTTCTACCTCCCTTCCTTCCTTCTTTTCGTTCTTTATTTTCTGCCTCTTTTCTTTCTTTCTTTCTTTCCTTCCTTTCTTTTTCTCCTTTCTTTCCTTCCTTCTTTCCTTCCCTTCTTTCTTTTTCTTTCTCTCTTTTCCTTCCTTCTTCCTTCTTTTCTTCTTCTTTTCTCCTTTCCTTCCTTCCTCCTTCTTTTCCTTTCTTTTCCTTCCTTCTTTTCTCCTTTCCTTCCTTCCTCCGTCTTTTCTTCCTTTCTTTTCTGCCTCCTTTCCTTCCTTCCATCCATCCTTCCTTTCTTTTCTACCTCCCTCCCTCCCTTTCTTTTCTACCTCCCTTCCTTCCTTCCTTTTCCTTCTTTATTTTCTACCTCTTTTCTTTCCTTCCTTCTTTTCTTCCTTTCTTTTCTACCTTCTTTCTTTCCTTCCTTCCTTCCATCTTTTCTTCCTTTCTTTTCTACCTCCCTTCCTCCCTTTCTCTCTTTCTTTACTTATTTCTATCTTCCTTCCTTTCTTTTTCTCTGCACTTATTCATATCTTCCATCCGTTTTCTTTTCACGTTTTTCTTTCTATCTTCCTTCCTTTCTTTTCTTTTGGCTTCTTTCTTTCTATCTTCCTTTCCCTCTTTACTTCTCTCTATCTTCCTTCCTATCTTCCTTTCTTTCTCTCTTTCTGCACTACTTTCCATCTTCCTTCCTTTCTTCTTTTCTCTCTGTCTTCATTTCTTTCTACCTTCCTTAGAATCATAGAGTTGGAAGAGACTTCATGGGCCATCCAGCCCAACCCCCTGCCAAGAAGCCGAAAAATCACATTCAAAGCACCCCTGACAGATGGTCATCCAGCCTTTGCTTAAAAGCCTCCCAAAAAGAAGCTCTCTTCCTTCCTTTCTCTTTTTGTTTCTTTCTATCTTCATTTCTTTCTCTCTTCACTTCTCTCTATCTTCCTTCTTTTCTTTCTGTCTTCACTTATTTCTGTCTTCCATCCTTTCTGTCTTTCTTCATTTCTTCCCATCTTCCTTCCTTTCTTCCTCTATTAACTTCTTTCTATTGTCCTTTCTTCCTTTCTCTCTTTGCTTCTTTCTACCTTCCTTCCTCTTCTCCACTTCTCTTTTCCTTCCTTCCTACCCGCTTCTTTCTTTCTACACTTCTCTTACTCTGAAGCTCTTAAATTTCCTTCTTTCTAACTTTCATTCATTCTCTGTATTCTTTCTTTCTACCTTCCTTTCCACCTTTTCCCTTCCCTCCTACCCTTCTTTCTCTTGCCTCCTTCTCTCGCCCATCTCTTCCTTCCTTCACTTCTCTCTACCTTCCTTCCTTCCTATTTTCCCAAAGCTTAAAAACAAACATAACCACCTTGTGCAACCAAATGGGGATTGTAACATTCAAGCCACTTTGGGGAGGCACAAAGCGCATCTTTTGGCAGGGAAGGCAAAACTCCAACTCCCAGGATTCCATAGCACTGAACTAGGTCAGTTCAAGTGGCATCAAACTGCATTAATTCTGCAGTGTAGATGCATATCGATACTCAAGCCCCTTTCTACCCAGCATGCAAATAATGGGTATTTCTGAGCAAGAAGTAAGCAAAGATTGGAGTTCACACTGGTCTGGATGGCCTTTAGAGGCCCCTTCCAATGCTAGGGTCCTAGGATTCAAGTCCCCTGTTTCTCCATATTTCTCTTTCCTTGCACGAGTGACATTGGAACTTAGAACTGGCAGGAAACCTTGGATGTTTTCAGGGGAGCGAAGGTGTTTCAAAATCCACCCCCTTCAATCATTTTGCTGCTCTTTTGTTCGCAAATGGCAAGAACAACACATTAAAGCTTTTGAAGAAAAGTCTCCTGCCGTTCTGCACACCCTGCACAGCGGTCTCATTCCGGAGGCCTAAAGAGCGGCGTGTTCCAGGTGCTTTATTCCGCCCACAGCCTCCATTATGGAGGATTCAGGAGCTGAGTGCTTTGACCCCTTGCTGTCATACAATGCGAGAGGAGTACTTTGAAGGAAGGATTTGTTCTCAAAGAAGCAATGCAGTGTAGGCTCCCCTTTCTTCCCATTGCCATCATACTGCCAGGCTTATGGATTTCCTGGTTTTCTTATGCAAGGAAAACTTTGACATGGTTTTTCCTATAGTATTCATTGGTGTCCTCCCATCCAAGTATCATCCAAAACTGGCCCTGCTTAGCATTCACAATCAGTTGAGATCCAGGATTTAGGCCTTTCTTTGCTAGTTCCTTCCTATGAAATGCTGCCTATAGCACTTAGATATACATTGGCGGCCTCCCATCCAAGTACCAACCAGGGCTGACCCTGCTTAGCATCCACAATTGGTTGGAATCTGGTCCCTTTAGAGGATTTAGGTAGTTTCTTCCTTTGAAATATTGCCTATAGCTCTTAGATATACATTGACGGTCTCCCATCCAAGTACCAACCAGGGCTGACCCTGCTTAGCATCCACAATCAGTTGAGACCTGGTCCCTTTAGAGGATTTAGTTAGTTCCTTACTTTGAAATATTTCCTATAGCTCTTAGATATACATTAGCGGCCTCCCATCCAAGTATCAACCAGGGCTGACCCTGCTTAGCATCCACAATTGGTTGGGATTGGGTCCCTTTAGAGGATTTAGGTAGTTCCTTCCTTTGAAATATTACCTATAGCATTTAGATATACATTGGCGATCTCCCATCCAAGTACCAACCAGGGCTGACCCTGCTTAGCATCTACAATTGGTTGGGATCTGGTGCCTTTAGGGGATTTAGGTAGGTTTTTTTTTCTTGGAAATATTACCTATAGCTCTTAGATATACATTGGCGATCTCCCATCCAGGAACCAACCAGGGCTGACCCTGCTTAACATTCACAGTCAGTTGGGATCTGGTGCCTTTAGAGGATTTAGGCCTTTCTTTGCTAGTTCCTTTCTGTGAAATATTGCGTATAGCACTTAGATCTATATTGGCAGTCTCCCATCCAAATGCCATCCAGGGCTGGCCCTGCTTAGCATCCAAGCTGAGGCAGAATCTGGTGCCTTGAAGGTATTTAGACTCTTTGCAGTAAATAATAATACATTAACCAGCTTCAGCTTATGGTTTACTTTATGAATGAGAGACCTCCAATAGATCCTAATATTATTCCGCCCTTCCAAACTCAGGGCTCTCTTGATGGAGTCCATTCAGGTCTTCCTCTGGTTTTGCTGCCTTTTACTTTACAAACCAGACACAGAGACACATTAATTACTACCAAGAGGGTTGCACTGTATGGCAAGACTGTGCTGTGCGGTGATATAACTGGAATAAGAACAAGACATTGGATCTTCAATATATTGCAGAGAGCTTTCCAATGCAAGGCTGCCGAAGCCTGGCCAAAATTGATCCAATGCTGCCATCTGCTGATTCAACCATGATAAACTCCAGCAAGTCTCCATTTAAAAGTTAGCCAGCCAGATAGAAGTCTGGCTGGATGGAAGTCTAAACAACTCTTAGGAAATATAGTTTGCTGCTGAAGCTAAACTTTTAAGAACCATAGTAAGACCACCCTTAACGGCAGAACCCATATCTTCAGATTCACTTACCCTTGATCATGGAGTAATTAGAATGCACAATTCTAGGCTGTTGTTGTTGCTATTGTTGTTGTTTCTATCCTGCTTTATGTCTCTAAAAAAGAGACTCAAAGCGGCTAAAAAAGAGCCCCAAAGTGACTTCCTGTAATTTCTCCAAAACATGCTCAATTTCCTATTTGTGTAGTGGTTAAACTAGGACCACTGATAAGAGGGTCCGTGCCTGGTAAGCATATTCTAAACCGAATGGGTCAGGACAGGGAAACAACTCACCAGGATGAAGACAAGCCACAGAGGTTTAATTCAATTAGGCCAAAAGGGATGCAAGTACAAGCAAGATGCTTCAAAAAGTGCAAGCATAACACACAGAGAAAAGCAAGATATCTTATACAGTTTAACAGCTATTCAAAACTCCCACTCCCTCCCCTAATTGGTCAAAAAGGGGACTGGTAAGGATCCATACCCCGATTGGCTGGAGGCTCTACTGATGCTGCCACTTTGGTAGAGAAATGAAGGTCGGGGATAGGCCGGTGAAGGACTAATCATTTGATGTAACACCCCCCTGGGAGGATACATAATCTGTGAAGACAATACCAAGGAAATGTTAATGAGCTTTTGATTCGCTCAACTGTCCAGTTTGATAGCAAACAAAGATAAGAGCTTCCGAAAACAAAGGTGTGAGACTCCTTAAACAAAAGGTGATGATCAGGGCTTGTCTGTCAAGAAAGAGAATTAACAAACACACATACTCTTTGCTTCTGTTTCCACAGGAAACAATCTCTCAGCTTCAAGTGAATCATCTAGCTAGATAGTTTTGGGTTTATCTGAGCTGGCATGGGAAGTCACCTATCTCTGCGTAAACATAAACAATTGGTCTGGTGATTGCCTGGCTTGGGAAACAGCCAGAGGGGTTTGCCCATCCTTCAGGTTCTTAGGGGATTATCTTTGATAGGTCATGGAGACTTTGCTGTCTCTGGGTCACATTTTATATACAAGAGATAGATACAGTATACAGAAAGATAAAAGTCATGAAAAAATACATACAATTTATTAAAGGGTTAGGAACAATAGAATCTTTGGTGAGGGTTGAAGCTGCTGTTGGTCCACTCCTGGTCTCCTGATGCCTCAAACTCATGAAAGTCCGGAAAATATTTTTAAACAGGAA